TGAATCAATCTCTGACTAATATGCACAAGTAAAACAAGTTTTATACTCAATATTGTAATTATGAAAATATGTAAAACCTTAAATTTTGGGGGTCCTTCCAAGAAGTAGGGGTCAGGGGCCTACTGCAGTGATTCTTGGCTATTTCCTTATTCTTTCTACACCCACAGTTCATAACTATAATTAGAAACAGCATTTTGAGATTCCTGGCTGGTAATAAGAATAGGGACACTCAGAGAAGGGACCACTATGACAATGATAGTGGGAAGTGATCACTTTGGACAAGAACTTGGATCTGAAAGGAGGTAAAGGGATATGCATGCTGCTATTTTCAGTAACAGTACTGTAAATCACAGTGACTGAAAGGAAAAGAAAGAAAAACAGAAAGAAAGAAAGAAAGAAAGAAAGAAAGAAACTGTCTGCCATAGAGGCAGGGCAGGTTGAGGGTGGAGAGCAGAAGGGAAAATGAAAACATTGGTGGTGGGAAATATATGCTGGTGAAGGGATGGGTGTTAGATGGTATAACTGAAATTCAATCAAATTACAAATAACTTTGTAACTGTGTATCAGTGATTCAATTTTAAAATTTGGGGAGAAAAGATGAACAGAAACTTATTCAAAAAATACAAATGGCCAAAAGACTTATGAAAATGCTCTATATCACTAATCATTGGGGAAATGCAAATTAACAAAGAGATACCACCTCATACCGGAGACTGACACTCATCAAAAAGAACAATAAGTGTTGGTGTGGATGCGGAGGGTGGGGGGCGGGGGGGAAGGTATCCTCCTCCACTGCTGGTGGGAATGCCAACTAGTCCAGCCTTTTTTTGGATGACAGTACGGACATTCCTCAAAAATCTAGGAATTGAACTTCCATATGACCCTTCAATTAATTGGTCTCCTGGGAATATACATCAAGGGGCCTGAAGCACAATGCAGAAAATACATCTGCACTCCTGTGTTCATTGAAGCACTTTTTACAATAGCCAAAATCTGGAAACAATCCAAGTGCCCAAGAACAAAATGACTGGATAAAGAAACTGATGCATATACACAATTTAATACTATGGGCCATAAGAAAAGATTGTCATGAAATTTATATGATATATGGGATGGTACAGGAGAGAATCATGTAAAGTGAAATGAGTCTGAAAGGAACACAAAGAGAATGAGCTCACTAATATGTGGGACATAAACATAGTAGGGGAATAACGAAAGCCCAATAGAAAGGAAGAGCAGAACTAGTCCTTGGTAGGAAACTTGTCACTTTGAGTAGGGGGAAGAGGGATAGGTCAGGGAAAGAACCACTACAATGACAGTGAAAGCGTCACTCAGAACCAGGACTAGGTGCTGGAAGGAAGTAGTGACATGCATGATGCCCAATCAGTAACAGTATTGTAAACCACAGTGCCTATAAAGGGGGGAGGGAAAAAAGAAAGTTCCTACCATAGAGACTCGCTGTGGATATAGGAGGGAAAATGGGGACACTGGTCGATGGAAGTGGACACTGGAGATGGGATTAGTATTAGAATATGGTATGCCTGAAACTCATAACTTCATTATTCACATATATTCAATTTTTTAAAACTTGAGTTACACTGGGTTGACTTCTGGCTCTGTGCTCAGGGATCACTCCTAGCAGGTTTGAGGAACCACATTGGGTGTTGAGTATAGAATCTAGGCAGGCTATGGTACAAGGCAAGCACTCTACTCTCTGTGCTATTGCTCCAGTCCCAATTTTTAAAATCTTAAAAAAAAAAAAAACCCATAGTAGAAGACTAATATCCAAGGCCAGGGAAAATAGGCTAGGAGGACTGGTCAGTGGTTGGAATCTGCCAATGTGTGTGTGGGGGTGGAGAGTAGGTAAGATAGAGAAGGGACCAATATGACAATAATAGATGGAAATGATTGTTTTGGACAGGAACTGAGTATTGAAAGTAGGTAAAGGGATATACTTGATAAGTTTTCAGTATCTCTATTGCAAACCATGATGCCTATAAAGGGGTGTGGGGGGGAGAGAGGAAACAGAAAAAGAGAGAAAGGAGAGAGAGACAGAGAGAGAGAGAAAGAGAGAGAGACACAGAGAGAGAAAGAGAGAGAGAGAGAGAGAGAGAGAGCCTTCCTGCCACGGAGGCAGACTGGGGGGGGGGGGAGGGAAACTGGGGACACTGGTGCTGGGAACTGTACACTGGTAGAGGGATAGTAATCATAAATAGCTTTGTAAGGGTCTATTTCATGGTGATTCAGTTTTAAAAAAAGGCTTTAAAAAACTTTTTTAGTAAGAGATTCTCTATTGTCACAAATGGAGCTATGATGGAATGATATCTTTAGTCCAATACAGGAAAGGGAGGAAGGTGTTAGGGTGATTCAAGTACTTTCAGGCAAAAGGAAACTAAACGATGCTTCAGATTTACAATACAAAAAAATTTCTCAAATCAATGAAATTAATTTGAAATTAACTCTTGCCTTCCACCCAAAAGCATGTCCTCATTGGACCCTTTTTTTTTTTTTAACTTTTTAGTTGAATAGGACTCCGCGCTAGGTTGTGGGGTGGGTGGGAGCCCTCCCCACCCCAAGGGACCCAGCCCCAGCAGCCGACCCTCACTACCCAACCACCGCCAAGCTACAGGCCGCTTTCCAGACATTATAAGAACACTTTCTACCCATTTCCATAATTACTACACCATATTTGATGGGGTCCAGACAGTAGGCAACAAATCATTATGCCTCAAGGAGATCTGGGCAAGCTACCGAGTATCCCACCCGCAAGGGCAGAGCCTGGCAAGCTCCCTGTGGTGTATTCAATATGCCAAATACAGTAACAACAACAGGTCTCATTCCCCTGACCCTGAAGGAGCCTCCAATAGTTGGGAAAAGATGAGTAAGAGGAGGTTGCTAAAATCTCAGGGCTGGGAGGAAGAGAGACATTACTGGTGCCCGCTCAAGTAATTTGATGATCAAAGGGATGACAGTGATGTCACTGTCACTGTTCTCCCCATTGTTCATAGATTTGCTCTAGCAGGCCCAATAACTTCTCCATTGTGACACTTGTTACTGTGTTTGGCATATCAAATACGTCACAGGTAGCTTGCCAGGCTTTGCTGTGTGGGCAAGATACTCTTGGTAGCTTGCTGGGCTCTCCGAGAGGGGTAGAGGAATCGAACCTGGGTCAGCTGGGTCTACCTCCTACAAGGCAAATGCCCTACCCACTGTGCTATCACTCCAGCCCATGACAGTGATTTAACTAAATCACTGTGAGATAGATCTTTACAAAGCTGTTCATGATTGGATTTCAGTCATACTGTATTCCAACATCCATCACTCCACCAGTGTACATTTCCCAGCACCAGTGTTCCCAGGTTTCCTCTCATCATCCCCCACCCCCTGCCTGCCTCTAGAGCAAGCACTTTTCTTCTCTCTCCTTTTGGGCACTGTGTTACTGGACCATCTTAACACTAGGAAACATATTAGAAATGTTTTTGATTTCATATAGAATCAAATATCAAACATGCTTTATTACTTGAACATGAATTATACAGAAATCAAAAGATATTTGACAACCTTAAACTGAATACCTAGATCACTACAAAAGCCATCAAAAGTTGATCCAACAAATATTTGATAGATATTTCCCAGAAAATATATTCAAGTCTTAACAACCCCTGCACCCTACACCAGAGTGTGGCCCTAATTGGAAATAAGGTCAGGTAAGACACTATGCTAATTAGAGAGACCCCTGGACCCAATGAGAAGATACAGGGAAGAGATATGGGAAAATAAAACACCATGACAAGAGAGGCCACGACTATGACAAGAGCAGCTGGGACTGGAGCGATTCTGGAGCGACGGTGGGCCAGCTGTTACCATAGGAACCTGTGGGCTCTTAAGGGCCCTTCAAGAAGGATCGTGGGCTCCCTGTCCCAGGACTCTCCTCCTCTAAACGCTGAAAAAACACTTTGCTGGGCTAAACCATGCAGTCTCGGGTTCTTCGTTGTCTAGCCTTAGGCCACGAACGAGTTTGCAAGGAGGCCACTTCCATTACACGGTCAAGACAGACTCTGGGGGCGGGGAGATACACAAGCAGGCTTGCCCGGCCCGTGGCTGACCCGGGTCCAATGCCTGGTTTTCGGAGCGTTCTCTAACCCCCTCTAGGAGCGAGCCCAGAGTGCGGGAGCACAGTCAGATGTGGCTCCTGAACAGAAACCCAAGCCACCCGTGCAGGGGGGCTCCTCATCGCCGACCCGGAGCAGAGGACTCGGCCGCGGGGTAAGTGTGCCTCTGCGACCGACCACTCGGCTCCCGGCCGGGCGCTAAGGGCTTCAGCGGCCTCCCTGAAGCGCTGGCCAGTCCATCTGCGCCCAGGTCCCACTTCCCCACCGACACGGCGTCCGTCTGCGCTCGGGCCGCTGCCGTCGGGGTCGCCGCGCTGGCCCCACTGTGTGGCGTCCGCGGTGACGCCGCCGGGGGCCACCGCGCTGCTCGCCGTCATCGGGGCGTCGAGAGGGCCGTGGGCCCCTTCTTTAGCTCTGACTCGGGCTTCCACTCCCGTGGCCCGCCTGGCGCCGACTCCTGTCAGCAGTCGGCGTCGGGGACGCGGCCCCAAGTCGTCTGGGAGGGTCACGGGGCGGCGTTAAGCCAGGGTGAGGCGTACCTCACCGGGACGCGGGGATCCGAGGCCCGCGACGTCAGTCACAACCGCCCCCGGCCGCCGCCTCCGAGAAGTCTCTCCACGGGCCAGCCCCCGGCCCCCTCGGCCTTCAGGGGCTGTCTCCCGCCTCCGGGGTCTTCCCGCTGGGCACGTGGCGCTCGCGAGCTTCCGGGACTCGCCTCACCCCCGCCCCCACGCGGGCCCGCCGCGCTTGGATGCCCGGCCCAGGCCCCGCCCCCCGCCTTTTCGGCCCCGCCCCATCCGGGACGCAAGCCCCGCCCCTCGGCGGAAGCCCCGCCCCGACAGCGGCCTGGCCGGCGGCGGCGTGAGGCGGGGCGGGCGGCGGCGCAGCGCGGCCCCATGGGATGGAGGCTCGGGGCGGAACCGGGCGGGGCTCGGTGAGGGGACGGGACGCCGAGGCGCCGCAGACTTTGGATCCGGCGGGCCCGGCCTTCGGGGCGGAGCAGCCGGGCCGGGCACCTGCGGCGGCGTCGGTGTCGGCGGCGCTGGGGGCCGGGCGCTCGGCGCGACCCCCGCGCGCGTGGTGGTGCACAGACCCGCAGAACATGGCGCCGTGGACGTTCTGGCGCTGCTGTCAGCGCGGCGTGGGCTGGGTGCCGGTGCTCTTCATCACCTTCGTGGTCGTCTGGTCCTACTACGCCTACGTGGTGGAGCTGTGCGTGTGTGAGTATCGCGCGGGCGCCGGCGGGGCCGGGCCGGGCCCTCCTCGCCGGCCCGTGCGCTCCGCGGCCCGGCAGCCCGGCTGGGCCCCGAGCGAGCAGCTTCCCGGCGCCCGCTTTCCGGGGGACCCGGGAGGGCTCCGGGGCCGGGCCGGTTGGTGCGCGGGCGGGTGTGTCGCAGGGGCGGGTTTCCCAGGGGTGTGCGCGGTGGGTGTGTTGGGTCGGTGCGAGGGCTTCCTGGGAAGTGCATTTCGGAGAGGCGTGTGTTAACGCTGTGCGGGTGTGTGTCTGAGAGGGCTGCGGGTGTGTTGCATAGGGCGGTGTTGTGATTTATAGGGCCGGGTTGCGTTTCGTAGGATTGTGTGCGTGTTTCATTAAGGACGTGTGCGCGTTTCGCAGGGGTGTGTGTAGTTCCTAGGTGTATGTTTTACAGGTGTGTGTTTCTTAGGTGTGTATGTATCCTGCGTGAGTCAGTTACCTGGGTGTGTTTCGTGGTTTCACGGTAGTGTGTGTCTCAGAGGTTCTTTGTGCCTCCCTCCCCCCGTACTTTTTTATTTTTCTTTTTTCCTACTTCTGTTAAAGAAATCTAGGTGGCTTTTAATCTAACCTGTGCGGTAGAGTGTGGCCTTCAGGTCAGTTACAGTCTGGGGAAAAGGCAGCCGGTCTTTTCATCCTCTTCTGCTGGAGTAGGTTAGCCCTAGAAAAGAAATTAATTCACTGCCTGACTCTCGAACGGTTCCAAAGTTTACTTAAGTTCGAACCCAGTAACTTTCACAGAATATTGTAAAGGAAGATTGGGACAATAGATATCTTCATTGTTTGGGGATGAGGTTTTTTTTTTTTTTTTTGGTTTTAGCTATTATACAGATTTACATTTCCTTCATCCCCAAACTTTGAGGTATTGTTTATTTCTTTCCTGCCATTTCTTTCACAGCTAGTTTCTCACCTTATTCCTCAGAAGAAAGGAAATACATTGCAGGGCGCTCCAAGGATTAAGATCATGACTTGAATGGGCTGTCCGAAAATTGAAGGGAACTGATTGCCAATCAAAGTACCTGGGGTTCCTGTTGTCTGTGGGAGTGACTAATGGTGGTCTACTAGTCTTCCAGTAGTTTGATTTTTACACTGACCTTCTTCAGGTTGCTTTGTATATGTCTGTCATATCCATTTTTCCTGAAAACTTAGACCCAAATGGCAGGTGAGGCTGTAAATGCAATCCAGACATGCCAGAATGAGCTAGTCATTCTCCAGACTAAGTCCACAGTCATCTGAAAAACTGCTGTTAAATGGCCTTTTTTTTTTAATTAATCAATTAATTTACCTTTTTTTGGGTCACACCTGACAATGCACAGGGGAACTCCTGGCTCATGCACTCAGGAATTACTCCTGGCAGTGCTCAGGAGACCATATGGGAAGCTGGGAATTGAACCCGGGTTGGCCGCGTGCAAGGCAAATGCCCTACCCACTGTGCTATCACTCCAGTCCCTAAATGGTCTTTTTATCAAGCCCACTGCACCTCACTATATTGGGTGGGAGCTGCATTTCCTGCTTACAGGGATGAAACTCTGGGCCTTGTATCTGCCTCTCCCTGGCCCATTCAGTATTCTCAAAAGCCACCCGAGATGGCTGTTGATTATCTGAATGAAATGAAAAAAAGCTGTACTTCCTGTTTCTATTTCTCGGTATCAGGACTGCTCTGACTATGGTTCTGAATTTGCCTAGCTCTCAGATAACTTGGTTAAAATGGAGTTGTGCACATGGAAGAGAATATTTTGGCTCAAAATTTTGAGGGTAGGTTTTTGGTTTAGCTTTTAAAGTGAAAATTGTATCCATTACACCCATGTCTTTTCTTCTTTTCTTCTTTTCTTTCTTATTTTTTTTTGAGGTGGGGCCATACCTGGCTGTGCTTAGGGTTTACTTCTGGCACTGTGCTTTAGGGAAATCCTTGCAGGGCTCCAGGGACCCACAAATGGTAGTGCTGGGGATTGAGCATGGATCAGCTGAGTGCAAGGCAAGTGCCTTACTCACTCACTCTCATATTAAAACTATACTTTAAACCCTAGCTTTGGACCAGAGTGCTAATACAGTGGGTAGGGCATTTGCCTTGCACGTGGCCAACCCAGGTTTGATCCCAGCATCCCATATGGTTCTGCAAGCACCACCAGGAGTAATTCCTGCGTGCAGAGTCAGGAGTAACCCCAGAGCATCGCCAGGTGTGATCCAAAAAGACAAAAAAACCCAAAACCCTAGCTTCTTAAACTGTGGCGACTATACAACTTAAGGTATAGATAGGGATAAGTAATTGAATGTGGATGTCACAGAAACATTTGCAAGAGTAAAATGTCTCACCATAACCAGAAATTTACTTAAAACCAAATGTGTGATGAATCCAAGTTGTTTCTGGTGGCACTCACCTGAGCCCTATTGAATTCTTTGGGCAAAAAAAAGGGTCATGAGTGGAAAAAGTTCAAGAAGCCCTGTCTTAAACTACTTACATTTGTTATGTCTTCATAAGTTCAGATCCTCACACTGAAATATACAGACATAACTTTATAGGAGCTTTAAACTGAAATGTGGGTTTTAAAGTTCTATTTTAATAATTTTATAGAGTATGTTTATCTTCTGATAATCCTTATGTAGATGAGCAAGAATCATAATTACATCTTTTGTTTTATCCTCAAATCGTTCAGGGTCAGATAATAGCATCATAAAAATTTCTTTGTCCATGCTTTTATTTAATTTAATTTTGGTTTTGGTTTTTGGTCCATATTCAAGTTACTCCTGGCTGTACACTAAGGAATTATTCCTGACTGCCCTGTGACTATATGGGATGCCTAGGATCGAACCCTGGGGCCAGCAATGTGCAAGACAATCATTTTACCCACCGTACTATCCCTTCAGCCTCAGAGCCGATGCTTTTAAAATGAACTACTAAATTCAGCTCTGGACATGTAGGATTGGTGATCTTATGTATGATCTACTTATATAAAGTAATTTTCTTCTGAAAGGTGCCAGAAATCCCTAAATGTCTCAGACAAAGTTCCTGGCAGTAAGATATTTGAACAAATTCCACTCTGTCCCAGCCCCTTAACTTTCTAATTTTGTGATCTTTCTCCATCTCTGTCTCTCTCTGTCTCTCTCTCTCTCTTCTCTCTCTCTCTCTTTCTCTCTCTCTCTGTCTCTCTCTCTCTGTCTCTGTCTCTGTCTCTTTCTCTTTCTCTAACTCCATCTCTCCTCCACCCCAACACAAAACATACACATCTATCTTGGAGGAATAAAAAGGTAAGCATCTATGTGGGCTTAAAAGGTAAGCATCTATGTGACCATCTTAAATGTTACCCCTCAGAGGGGTAATAAGAAGTGTTAATATTGGACCTAAAGGTCCAAAGACCTTGATTTTAAATTAAATTAAAATTCTTCAATTTTCTCCCCAGCCAGTATTTAAATATATGTGATTTTTGTTCGTTTATTTTGGGACTGCACAATCAGTGCTCAGAACTCATATATGCAATACCATGGAACTAGCCACGTTCATTGCAAGCGCCTTAACCCTATACTCTCAGCTTAGATGAATTTAATTAAGTGTAAGCTTGCCAACTTTTTCACTTTGGTCAAGATGGTTATTCAGTAACCGGGGTTACTCTTGGTTGCATTTCTGTACCCTGCAATGCCTATATGGGATCTTAGCCTTCCTCATACGGAGTATGTCCTCCATCCCTTTGAGCAATTTCCGTGACCCAGGAAAGTTCTTTTCAAGGAAAGTGTTAATTTAAGTTCCTAGGGTTTTATTGGAACCTCTTTTTAAGGTCATTTGGAGCTATTGTTATATAGCATTCTGTTGGCAAAGTTAGGTTACATTTACTCAAAATGAAAATTCAAACAGAAAACATTAGAAAGTAAGAGAAAAGTTGTTTCTGTGTATAGATAATATGATAGTATATGTCAGAAAATTTAAGACAATAACAACATCATACAAACCAAGAAGAATTAATAAAATGGAAGGTTGTAAAAGTAACCAACAGACTGGGGAAATACCCCCAAGGTCACACCCAGTGATGCTCAGGGGACCAGACCTGAGCACGCTGCAGACCCAGATCTGGTCCCCTGAGCATCTCTGAGTGTTACCCTTGAAGCATTCCAGCACTGCTTAGAGTGTTCCTGGACTCCCCTTGAGCACCACCGGGATGCCCAGGTCATCCCCACCTCACAGCTCTGCTTCTGTTTCTTTTGGACTTACATGAACCCTGTTGACCAGGTCTCCAGGAGGGGCCCCAGAGCAGTCTGAGCAGTGTTTGTGAGGATAATAATAACACAATAATAGTGAGTAGTGTAAGTGGGAAATAGTATAGAGATTAGGGTGCCTGCCTGGCATGTTTCTGACCCAGGTACTTCCAGGAACCTGGCCCAGGTATTCCCCAGCACTGCAGGGCCAAGCAGCATCACATCTTGTGCTGAACCAACAGCCCAGTTGACCAAGAATCACTGCTTGGGGACACCCCATCCCGCCTCCATCCCAGTAATAATTTAAAAAATAGAATTCACAAAAACCAAACTGATACATTCTCTCACTGAATGTACTTGCAGTTATACACACAAACACACACACACTATATATATGTGTGTGTGTGTATGTGTGTGTGTGTATATATATATACATAACAATGATTTAATTTAAAATTGTGTTTGAACATATGTGTTTGTAGTCAAAAATGACAAAGCATACTTAAAGTAACTAAAGTAAAGGCCCTCCCGTTGATCATCGATTTGCTCGAGCGGGCCCAGTAACGTCCCAATTGGAGACTTTGTTGTTACTGTGTTTGGCATCAAAGCATACTTAAACCGTAATAATGCCAAATCTTTCAGAGGAAGACATTACTGCACACCACTAGAGCAGTACTGAAGAGAGTGCAGAGGGCTGACTTCATGCTTTATGTGTAGGTCTGGGTTCCATCTCAGCATTGTAGGGTCCCTGGAGCACTGTCAGACTAATCCCTGAGCCCTCCC